CTAGAGACGAGATGCGTTAAATTTGAGCAGCATCTAGCCGACACACTGGGGTTAAAAATAGGAAATTGAAATGATACATATGACACACTCATATCCTCTCTCCCACCTCACTTGCTCACTTCGTTAATTTTACGTATACTTGATGAGGTCCGTCAAAAAGGTGTGAATTTCTTTTCATTTTTCATTTCAGCTTTTGGAAGTAAAGTCTGATGATCCAGAACCCTGTTAAAGGGGTTCTTGTGAAATAGCTTATTACATGGAATCTTAACGTGGTCTGTTTTTTATTCAAACATATCTGCTCTGAATTTTACATTAAGCTCTCTGGATATTATCCTCCTCGGGTCTACCCATACGGATTAACTAAGTTTGCATAAACTATATATATATATATATATATATATATATATATATATATAATAATTAGTAGGAGGATTTGATAATTATATTTAATTAATTCATCGAGTCTGATAGAAACCTCAACAGAATGCAGAAAGCACTGGACGGTCGTTATGGTTTACAGAGAACTCAGTTGAGTTCCGTTTCCGAATATGTGAGCGAAATTTTTTTTTTGAGTCTGATTTGGAATCTCTTCGTCACCGAGGCCCAATTGGACCAGTTGGTATGTTAGCTTGGCAACATAACTGTCAGGGTTTCAATTCTCAGTAGTGGATGCGCACTGCTGATGAGTCCCAAATATAGGATGAAATGGCCGTCCAGTGCTTCCTGCATTCTGTTGAGGTTTCTATCAGACTCGATGAATTAATTAAATATAATTATCAAATATATATATATATATATATATATATATATAATAAAAAAAAAAATAGCTACAAATTTGAGTTGTCATACAGAAAGTAACCAGCTTTTAATTTCAGTTTTCAGTTGGATTCTTTCCAATTGCTTCAGACTGTCTAGCATGTTTATTTCATTATAACCTATCTGAAATTAAGTGAATTTTGTTTAGATAGTGAAATCTGCAAGTTATTTGTTTATCCATATATATGTGGATTGAACAAAATAAATTTTAAACGTCATAACATAGCTCAAACACAAGTTTACTAGTCAAAGTAAGCATGATTAGAATCAACATAATGCTAGCAATCTGGCAGTCAATTTATTCTATAATAAAAAATTTGGAGTCATGGTACTTGACAAATTACTGGGAAGGATTTTCAATTTAGTCTGCATTGATGGACACCTGCTGGTGCATATATGCATCTAAGGCCCAGAAAAAGTGGTATATGGTAGGAGAATAAGCTGTCTAAATGCATTCATTTTTGCCATGTGATTTGTAAAGTATGAGTTCTTGTTATCCTGCAACAGGTTAGGCCTCTTTCCATTCACTACTTCTGGCTAAAATGTTTGAAAATTTGATGCATCACTTCCAAATCAATCATGACAATAGAACACTGTCATGATGGTTTCACCAAGTTACAGAGACTATAATAGAGTAATAAATTACAACAACACTAAACTCTTAGTGGGGATCTATTAGGTTGAAGATTTGGTTTTGGCTAAGTTGAAGAGGAAACAATTTTGTTGACCCAAGGAAAGCTGCATTTTTAATTATCCACCAAGCATTACTTTTCTTTAACGGTAAGCACATGATCAAGCAAAGTGCCAAATTGTTGCAGCTGCTGTCAAATTGTACCCACTTTTGAATTTGTTAATTTGTATCAAATGTTTTTTGACTGTTGTTTTATTACCATAGCAGCTTTGTGATTGCTTTTGCATTAACCTCTCCAGTTGCTCTTACTTCATTGTTGAATGATGACTTTTAACCCCAAACAGGCTAGTCTTGGGGATGGCAGATCATCAGAAAAATAATTTTTTAAATCGGCAATACACATTTCATTCTGAAGCTGACTCCAGCTCGAAAGCACTGTTGATGTTGTGAGTGGTTCATTAATAGCACAATGGCAAATTTTGAACACATGGAACATAAGGACAGAGAAATTGTTTATTCACCTTTGCTTCGATATCCTGTAAAAAACAAAAATAAAAGTAAACAAAAAATAAATAAAAATTAAACAAAAAATTCAAGCAACACCCAAAAGAAGTGAAGCAGAGCTTTAACTGTGTGTGTTTGTAATATATATATATATATATATATATATATATATATATATATAAAAATTATATTTAAAAACGAGAAAATTGTGAGGAAAAATTGTTCTTTTTTTTTTTTTTTTTTTTTATGGAAAGCAAACAAGAATCTACTCCTGTCTTAATTTACTGAACTCTAAAGGCAAAGAAAATTTTTGATGTAGATTTGTATAAACAGAAGGGAACAATGCAAAAACACAAAAATGACCATTTATTGTTCTACCCTCATATAGAAATGTCAATTTTTTTCTTTGATTTAAAAAAGAAAAAAAAAGTTAAAATGGAAAGTTAATTATTGCCTTTTTGGCTGTATTTTGATATAAATTTTAGATCTTTTTTTTAGATGCTTAATTTTAGATATCATTGTTTTTAATTATTCTATTTTATTTTGCATCAAATTTAAATTTTATGCTCTTATATACCACTAGTAGAAATTTACTGATGTTCATTTACTAAACTGTTTTTTTTTGTGATTTGAAAATTGCTTTGTGTTGGACTCTTAATGTGACTTCTATTTTCCATTTATTACAGATTTTTATACTTTTTAAAATAAAATGTTTTTATATCTGTTATACTATATTCAGTTGGAAGTTTGTTTTAACACTAAAAATTTTAAGAGAAATTTCTGATATTTGTTGGATATTTCTTCCTAAATTCATCATAGACAAAAATTCCAATATGTTCATTTGAATATTCTCAGTTTTACTAATTTACTAATATAATTTGGTTCATGTTCAGGTTGTCCCTATTAAAGAACAAAAAAGATATTTCAGTGAGAGTATGTTGTATAAATTTAACTTGCACTAGGAGTGGGTGAGGGGTCTTGCAAATGAATTCCAATTAACATCATTGATTACTAGAGAGGAATGAGTGCATCTTTTTTTGTAATTTGCAACAAGTGGGCAATTGAAAGAGTTAAAGGAATATCATTGATTATAAGGTATCATGTGAATTATGAGAGGATTTATAGAAGCAAAGAGTTTTCTTGAATTTTGGACCTGTTTATGAAATCAATGAGTCTTAATATAGTTTTGTGCATTGTAAATTTATTGGAAATAAACTGGCAAAGAACAATTGTCAGAAGATTATTTCCCTTCAGAAAATGCATGTCTAAAGCATGAATATTTTTAAAATGTTCTCTTTTTTTTTATAATTTGAATGAAGCTTCTTTTTTTTTTTTTTTTTTTTTTTTTTTTTTTTTTTAGTGCCCCTTGTCCACTGGTTGGAAGCTAATTAATGGATGACTAACCCTTTATCAATATTTGTCCTTTTAAATTTGTAGTTGCATTGCTCATGAGCATAATTACTTTTCTGTAACTAAGTATTTTGGCTAGAAAATAATTATGTATGGTTGGATTAGGCAATACTAATGCTTTGTTTAATTTTTTTTCTCTTATAACAAATGAATGGTTTTATAAATGGACATTTTTGTTTGACTTACATGGAGTTTTGTATGTAAATGATATTTGTGCTAATGCATCTAAAGACATTTAATTAACACTCTTGAATTTTTTTTTTTTTTTGTCTTTATCTTCTATCTTGTTTTGATGTTTTTTTTTTTTTTTTTTATAGGTAAAGACCTAATGTCTCTTTATTTTAAATAACTTTGTAAACCAACCAAAATTGTCTCTTGAAAGCAAACATATGAGAACTTCTTTATCAAGTAGAATACATACTTAATACATTTATTATTTATTGGGTTGTCCAGAAAATTCATGCAGGTGTTAAGGGAAATTAAAACACAATACAAAATTATGCCATTATATGAACCATTTTGTTGCACAACCTTTCTCCATTTTTCCTTCAACTTAAAGATTCCATCTTCCCAGAATTTTGGTGGTTTCTCAGCAAAGAACTCAGGTGTTATTTTTTTTTTTTTTTTTTTTGCAATGACCTGAATAAATGAAAACCTGAAGGAGCAATGTCTGTTAAATATGGCAGATGAAGTAACACATCTCGGCCAAGCTGCAACAATTTTTGCAGCGTTGCCAAAGAAACGTGAGTTTTGATGTTATCCTGATAGAAAACAACACTTTTCCTGTTCACCAATTCTGGGCATTTTTCTTGAATTGCTGCCTTTAATTCATCCAGTTGCAAGCAGTATTTTTCAGAATCAATTGACTAATTGGCAGAAGCTCATAGTACAGGATTTCCTTTCTTAGGATGAAGACCTGCTTTTGAGGTGGCTAAAGTTGGCTCATGTCTCTTACCCCAGGATCTTTTTTGCTGAACATTCTAAATGGTCCCTTTCTCATCATCCATCACAATTTGCTTCAAAAAGGGTACATTTTCATTGGTTGTATACATCAAATCGCAGATGAAATGTGACCCAAAAGATTATTTTCACTTAGATCATATGGGACCCAAACATTGTATCAATTTGAATACTCAATCTTCACTAAGTGCTCAAGGATGGTGGATTTTGATAAATTTAGTGTTTCTGTCAATTCCCAAGTTGTGTAATGTGGGTTATTGTTGTGGAGTTATTTCACAGTGGATGCTTGTATTTGTACTAAGTCAGTCCTAAAATAGGTTCGATGTACAAAACGTTAGAAACATGATATAATAGGTATAACGCAGAGTAATCTAGTTGTGGTCGCTGATACTTTAGTATTCGGCTAACCGTCGTCCAACATTGACTGACTGACCAACTCCCTCCTTACTCTTACTACTCCTACTTATTATAGGTAGGAGAGTCTATTAACTATAGAATAGGTGTGTTCTACTATAACACCCCCGTCCTAAAACTTTACTCCGTAGGAGTAAACAGTTTTCTTTATTTATTTTTTTTTTTTTTGAATATGAAAACAAAAACAAAACATTTTTGGCATTTAGCCTACATTTTTGATCCACCTTTTAAATGATCAGTTGCCTTCCTTTTTCTTCTGGATCAGCATACCTCAGGTAAAATTGTTGCAGGCCTTGTTAGATCAAACATATCAAAAATCACCTCCATCGGCATTTCTTCCGCAGGACCGCTGTCAACCACATCTGAACCATGTCGTCTGATCTGGTTACTGCACGTGAATTTTTCGCCTTTCACTAAGTACATTATATTGCCAATCTGCTTTTCTATTTTTTGGTACCTCCATAGTGTTACCAGAAACAACCTTCCACTTTCAGCTTCTTAAGGATGGTGTCACAGTTTCTGTAGGTTCTTCTTCTGGTTCTATTTGTTCAGCCTCTAGCCTCCCTTTTGTTGATCTTGTGCTTCTTAACGTTTTCTGTGGTGACTTCAGTTGACTTAAATCATTTAATAATACTGCATGTCCTTGGCTGCAGGTAACTCACTCCCCAGTTTTTCTCTGTGTCGGCTTCATCTTTACTTTCTGGAGCTTTTTTTTTTTTTTTTTTTTTTCACATATATCATCAGTGTAGCCTGTTCACTATATTCAACTTTTTTTAAGTACATCAGTTTTCTCTAATCTGTCCAATTCCTTATCTGTTCAATTGAAGCAAACAGCACATTCCTTTTCTTTTTGAATACCGCCTGAGTGTTTTCTTTTAGATGGAATTTTACCTCCATCTTGATACATGTTCCCAAACCTGGAGAAAAAACAGTAGGAAATGTTTCCTTAAGTTTCTTTACTAATTTTTGGGCTTCGGAGTTTAAACTTTCTACCTTGTAACAGAAAGAATTTATCGGTAGATCCTATAATTGGAATTCTGTTATCCAATTTGTACCAAGTAAGTTCATAGTATTTTCTATGACAAATAGTTTAGCTTTTCACATTTTTTTTATTTAACGTGATGTTTTGTTTGTATTTTTTTTATTTAAATTCGTTTGTAACAAATAAATTGTATTTTTTTTCTCCCGTCACTGACCTCGCAATTTTATTTGTCTTCATTAAAGTTGTTTTCCCCAACTTCTTCCACATATGCAAATTTATGATAGATAGGTCGGAACCAATGTCGAGTTGTATTTTTATTTTTTTATTACTTATTTCGACAGTAACAAATTTTCTGGTTATTCCATCGTTCACCTCGTCGCACTTTAATTTTCTTATTTTATTGTCTTTATTTTTTGACCTGCAGTGCGAGCTTTTATGCCCCACTCTTTCACAGTTGAAACATTTTTTATTCCTAAAATTGCAATATCTGTACCAGTGTAGTTCACCGCAAGCAAAACATGGCTTCGGGAGTTTTTGTTTATTTTTCTCTGGTATTTCACTTTTTGTTTGATAATCCGCAATTTTAGAATTCTTTTTGGGAGACTGACTTTCTTCTTTGTAGCGTATTTTCCTTACATGTGAAACGCCAGACTGTTTTATCTTTTTTGAATCTTTCTTTATGCTAACATATCTTGTGCAGTCTTCTGCCAACGTCTGTACCGTAAGACTTGGATTACTTTCCAATTTAGCCAGTACGAATTTTCTCAACTCAGCGTCTCTTTCCGATACCAGCCCCTGAACAAACACCAAGCACTTAAAATTGTCTGCGCTTAACTCTGCCAGCTTGAATTCTTCACAATGCTTGTTCACATTGGCTGCGTATGTTATATAGTCTTGTTTGTCATCTTTCATCAGATTTAAACATTTCCACCTCTTGTGAAACAAAGATGTCTTTTTACTAAATAATTCACTTAATATATTTACCGCCTCAGTAAATGTCAACTCGCTAGTTTTTTTCGGTAAAATGTAGTTTACCAATTTGTTATGCTCAGCAGTTCCTAATTTGCTTAAAAAAAAGCCTAACCTTCTTTCCTTCAGACCACGAGTGGCAGTCCTCATTATACACGTCCGTATATTTTTTATAATACTCCTCAAAAGTTATCTCTTCATCTGGACTAAATATTTCAATTGAATTCCATATTGTATTCTCTGGGAAAGAATCATTTTGTAGACTTTTCTCTTTCCTCTTCTCAGTTATTTCCAGAATTTTGTTTTGAAACTCCCTATCTGTTCCATTTTTTGTTGAAATTGCATTTGTGTATTAAGTTTCCTCCTGTAGTTGCATCTGGAATGTTTTTTGTTGTTCCGATTGGAACTTAAAAAATTCCTGTAATATATTTTTGCATTCCTCCATCTTCGCAAAATGTTTACACAATGCTTAAATATTGTAGGGGGTGGGGGTCCTACGAATTTGCAATTTGAGCAAACTGTATTATTGAGAAAAAAAAAAAATTCTTTTCTCAGTTGAGAATACGACTGATTTTTTTCGTCACTAAGTTGACGTCTAAGCTTGGGAAAAACTTTGCGAAGTTTGCTTTTTTTTAAGTGTGAATCTGAGACTTTTTTTCGCCGAAAATTATTGTGGTGAGCGAATTTTTTTTCTTCCTCCGTATGAGTACGAATTTCGCCACCAAAAATTGTTATGGCGAGCAAAAAAAATTTTTTTTTTTTTTTTCTTTTCCCCACCGTTCAAGTACGAATTTCATCACCCAACGTTATTGTGGTGAGCGAATATATTTTTTTTTCCTCTGTAATGAGTACGAATTCCTCGTCGCCAAATAATGTTGTGGCAAGCGAATTTTTTTTTTTTTTTCTTCCACCGTATGAATTTGAATCTTCGTCGCCAAATAATGAGGCTTGTATTTGTACTGTCGGTCCTAAAATAGGTTCGACATACAAAATGTTAGGAACTTGATATAATAGGTATAATGCAGAGTAATCTAGTTGTGGTCACTGATACTTTAGTATTTGACTAACCGTCATCTGACATCGACTGACTGACCGACTCCCTTGTTACTCTTACTACTCCTACTTATTATAGGTGGGAGAGTCTATTGACTATAGTATAGGTGTGTTCCACTATAACAGTTATCCTCAATCAATATTTTGATTTAGTAGTCATCTATAGTTGGGCGTGGGGTCTTCCTGAGTGTTCTTCATCAATAAGGCTACAATCACTTCCCTACAGTCCTGTCAGCTAAAGCACCTGCACCATACATAGCACATATCTTTTTTTGTTGTTTGTGAGGCATTTTTCTCTTTATGGTAAAAAAAAAAAGCATCAAGTGTCTAAAATGCACCTTCTCTTCCATTTTCATCGGGATGCAAAATTGGTATGAATTAAGTAATTTTAAACTTTTTTTCTCAACTGATAGTCTGAAATGTGCTCTAATCAGAAATGTAAGCCTATTATATCTGTTGATAAATTTGATGTATTATAACATGTTCAAACATGAATTTTTTTTTTTTTTTTGCTTCTAGAATTAATTTATTAAGCATAATTTGGTGGATAGTTATTCTTTTTTTTTTTTTTTTTTTTTTTTTACTATTTATCACTTATTTTTACAATTGTTCTTGGTGTACTTATAATAATTTGTCCTTTGTTTTATATTGCTATTTTTATAGAAGAAACTTATTGAGGAAATCATATTTCTGTGAATGTTAAACAAAGCAAAGGGGTAAATTTATGTAATTTGAGGTATTTAATTACATAATAGTAAAACAATTAGTTCACACTTCCAAAATTTGCCACAAAACCCCAAACTATTAAGTATTGAACCAACCCAAATACCATGATGAAGATTAAAAAAACTTATATTATGAATAAAAAAAAAATGCAATATTTTAAGTCACCATCTATTGATAGGTTGACTTAAAATATTACTGATTGAGTGGAATTGCTACTTTTGTTTTCATCATAAATATACCCTGTTTTGTATATCTAGAATTTTAAGTAGCTGCAATTATAAGTTTATTGATTTTCATCCAGGATTTTTCATACCTTTTCTAACATAAGTTTCACATTTGCATAAATTTAGTTATTTAACCAGTAACATCAGATGAGACATACCTATAAAAAAATCTATTACTTGAATATGTTATAATCAATAAATGAATAAAACAAATTGGTGCTGAAATATTTTTTATTCTCAAATAAGAGCATGATCACAATTTGGTTTAAGAAACTCAGAATAGCTCAGTATTTTTTATCTATTGAACTCAGACCAGAAAATTATCAAATTAAAATTTGAATAAAATGTTTTTATACTTTGATTTTTCTTAGATTTCTAATTGTTTTCTTTCTTGTTTAGTCCACATTTAAGTGAAAATTTTATAATTTTTGCATATTACATGACATTGTCATCTCTTACTCTTTCAGAAGGTGAGAAACTTCATTGAAGAGGTTAGCAGCTTTCACATTCAAAATGGTAACCAACCACTGGCATGGAACACGGCCATGAAATTTTTAACAGCTCGTAAATTTGATGTTAAACGGGCAATTGATTTATACAGAAATCATCAGGTGAGTTTTTAGCAAATTTCATAGGTTAAAATTTTAGTTCAAAAAATTTATTAGTCATTCAGAATTCATTTTGTTTTTAATTCTATGCTGTCTGCTTTTTCTTTGTTTTTTTTTTAATGTAAAAGTAAATCTGAAAAGTAGTATTAAGTAATGAAGAACATTCTTAAATACTTTTAAATTTTTTGTTACAACAATAAAAATATTTCCCTCTAATATAAATCATGTATAAACAATAACTATAACACACCTTTTAAGAGGAAGTTTCTTTGTTACATCTGATAGTCATTACTTGCCATTCTTCCAGGTTTCTTTGTGTAGATGGTTATGAATTCCATTTAAATTAGGTACCTCCACTAAAATCACAATACCTCATGTTTAAAATGAATTTTTATAAATGAAAAAGCTTTCATTTTTATTTGAAAGCTGAAGGATTAAATTTATTATTGCCAGTAAGCAAAATACTCTGGTGTATTTCAAACAGAATTTATATTGATTGGAATCAATGTTTTTTTTTTTTTTTACTAATAGCTGATCAGCATCCCCCATTTTTTTAGTGGTCTTTCATCGCAATGTAAGTCTCTGTATTAAATCCTCCACAAAATAAAATATACTTTCTGAAACTTTATTTGAGGAATATTAGCTTATTTAATGTATTAGCTGATTTAAATCTGATTTGAAATCAATATTATCTACTTGTGATCTACGTGGTGATTTATGAGCTTTTCAACACTCATCTATCACTTAGCAAACATTGTAAAGGTGTTGACAGGTTTATTGTTATTCTACGGAGACTTTGTCTGTTAAAACGTAATTTAAGAAAATGACGGGTAAAGGTTTTTTTTATATAATTTTTAAGTACTCAGTAATCTTAAAAATGTTGGAAATGTAATCTAATTTTAGGAATGTTGACTTTAAATTTACTATAGTTATTGATCTTTTCTGATAATGTCATGTATGGTCACCCAGACTTACAAAATGGGCACATTTATACACATAAAAAAAAATTTTAAATCATTTAAAAAATTTCAATGCATGATAATTTGTATTAAGCTTTTCAATTTTTGCTTAGTAATTATAGTCTTCATTTAATAACTTAATAACCTAATGAGGTTAAACTTTTGAAGAATTTTTAAAATATTTTTGAAACTTTATAAATTATTATAATTAAAATTAAAATGCTTTTCCTAAAAATTCATTATTCATTGAAAAAAAAAATTTTCTTCAGACTATAATGTCCTTAATAAATATTATTTATAAAAACCATTACAAGCTAATCTAATTAAATATTAGCTTTATTGCAGTTTTTATTTTTACTATTCAAAGCAGATTTTCGGGAAAACATTAACTTGGTGGGGAATAGATGATTTACATTCTCCAAGGAGGACTGCATTTCACTAATTAAAAAAAAAATGGTTGATGGAATTTAATTTCTATAAATTTCATGAAATTAAGTGACAGGTAACAGTTGTAAAAAAAAAAAAAAAAAAATTTCTAAAAATATTATAAATATGTAATGCTGATCCTCTCGCACAGTGTCAATTGTAATGCAGTCTCTGGTCAAGTGTCCATGTGACACCATATCCTAACCCTACTAGGCTGACGTCATCCACAAGACCGGCTCTTGGTCCTGTATGGTCCAGTATTACAGGTTAGACCTAAATCTCTGGTTTCAAATGTCGATTTGATTCCACTCACCAACTATGTTGTGATTTTTTATCCTGGTGAGTAGTTATTGGTTCGTAGAATTCCAAAATCTTCTCTGTTGGTCTATCTGCAAGCTTGTTGGGTGAGAATTGGGTTAACAGCAAATAAATATAGCCGAGTCGATCCGATTTTAGAGGAACAAAAGTTTTTTGATGTGTTCTAAATTAACTTTCTGTAACATTTACATGTCAAAGACTTTACAGCATTTTTAACATCTTGGTTCTTTTGAAAATGCCTTTTTTTCCTGTTTTCCAGCATATTCTCCTTTATTATCATTATTATTATTTCAGGGTGATATTGCCCCCACTCTTAACCCTTTTGTCTAATACTTCAAAAGTTAATTCTACTGATGCAATTTGTCTATTATACCTTCTGCATGCAGGTATTATTTCAAAAGAAATGTACAGTCCAATTAAATCAATTCAAACATTAGTCTCTTTCAGCTCCTTTTTTGATTAAGTTCCGCCATTCTTATGCCCACCAATATTTAATTAAAACAAATCCCTTCTATCAGGGTTGTAATGTTCACAGTTCCTTTTTTAATTCAACCCAAGTTGAGTAGAAAAAAATAATAATTACATCTTACAATAACTCTCTTTTAATTTCATGTCAAATTATATAAAAACAAAATAATAATCACAATAATACTTTTTTTTCCAATCACAATTATTTTATTTATTTATTTATTTTTTTTTTTTTTGAGTTTTTAACACTGCATTATTTAATCAGTTATTGTACTGATTTACTTATCCTTTTTGCCCGTCCTAGCTGTAATAGGGGACTTGATTTCTGTAGTTGATTCGGAGTTCTCTCCAATAGTGGTTGACTCTACTTGTAATTCCATGGTAGGTTCAATCGCATTCACATTGGATATGCTTTTATGAAGCTCACGTAATGGAATCCCTCTTTTACTCAGGTACTTACCAGCCAATTCGCCTTGTTCGTGTGACAACTTCACTCACCTCTTCAGCCACCACCAGATTACTACTATCAGTAATATGACTACAACAATTGGACAAACTATTATAGCCTGCCTATTCTCTTCCCAACTTGGACTATTTCCTTCCACTAGGTTTAATTTAAATTTTAATTCTTCCAAGTAAACTTTATCAAGGGGCTTTAATAAGTCCGGCATTTTCTCTAGAGACCTCGGGGTACCCCCTTTATTATGGGTTCCCATAATTTTGTCCATTTACTCCCATTGGTTGACACTAATTTCAAAAAAGATTGGACTTGCAGATACACAGGTGCCAAATTCAAGGCTAAAAAGTCCGCTCCCATCTTATGCCTAGCTACGGCTTCTAATTTTTGATTGATTTTAGGATAGGGCATGGACAGATTTATTACAGGTAACCTAAGGTGATGAGTCTGTATGTCCAACAACACTTCCCTTAACCAAATTGGGGTTATTATTATTGGTGACAGGTGTCCCGTAGATAACATATCCAACTTATCTCTCACATGCTCTAGCAACAAGGTTAATGATTGATTGGTCTGTCAGACCTTACTTGTTATTGACAACAACTGAAAATATCGTTGTAAAAAACCCTCTAATCCCCTTAGTTCCACTGCTAGGGTTTCCGTTATATCGAACACCTCTTTTCTAAAACTCTGCAATTGGGAGATTAGCCAATTTATGCTGCCCCTATTCTTGGCCAGTTCCAACCTGGTAATATTAAGAATGGATATACTCTAACTACTTTAGACATCACTCGTTGGTTCTTTTCCACATTTTCTAATTTTCCTCTCATCACTCTTGCATTGTCTTCTGACACCGTTCCAAATAAAACACTCATTGCAATTATTTCAATTTGTAAACGAGCCAATAACGCTTCATATGGCTGTAAATTGATCACTAAGGTTATCAACCATTTGGATCTAGGCATGGCCACCTCATTGATTTTATTTATTTATTTTTTTTCTAAATACAGTATTTTTGCTTTGTTCCCAGTCACTTACTGTCAAAATCAGCATCAGCGCCATCGGTGGTCCTCTCTTGTCCATATCTTCAATGAGATAAAGATGAGGGTCAACTTTTACTTCTACATTCCTTTCTGTTGTTTTCTTATGGTTATTGATTTGCTCCACTCCAGTAATAGTCCAATTTTCAGGCTGCATGGCAAACGCTTTTTCTATCACTGGCCATCTCTGCTGGGTTTCTGATAGTCTGTGAGACAGAAAATATATAGGTACTTTCTGGCACTGGTCCATCCTTATCCGGACAAGGCTGGGTAAGTACCGCACATATACATTTGTCACTGGCATCTGTGTAAAGCACCATTGACTTACTTTTTCATCAAGGCTATCAAGAGTCCTGCTAAATGCAGGAACAAAATGCCTGTAATATCCAATGGCTCCTGTAAAGCCACGAACCTCTCTCACTGTCTTGGGCTCCGGCATAGCCCTTATCACTTCTACCTTATCTAAATCAGATTTTATTCCTCTTTTGTTTATAACAAAACCCAAATACTTGGTCTCATCCTTCACAAATTGACATTTAGACAATTTTAACTTCAATCTGTCCTTCCTCAACTGATCAAACACCTTCTGTAGGTGTCCAAAGTGCTCTTCAGGTGCCTTAGAAAATACCATAATATCATCCAGGTAAGCCATAGCAAGATCTTCCATACCCCTTAGCACTATGTACATCAACTGAGTAAATACACCTGAGGCATTAGATAACCCAAACAGCATCACACAGAAATTGAATAGACAAGTGAATGCTGTCTTCTCCTGGTCCTTTTCATCCAAGGCTACCTGCCAATAACCTGATCTTAGATCCAATGTAGAAAAACAGGTTGACTTTCCCAAAAGTGCCAGAATATCATTGATCAGGGGTAAAGGTAGCACTAATGGTTTGTAATGGTGTTTAACTGTCTAAGATCCACACAAAATCTATGTGCCCCATCCTTTCTTTTCCACAATGACTGTTGGAAAACTCCATGGGGACCTAGATCTCTCTATTACTCCTGAGTCCAACATCTCATTTACTGCCTCTTCCAATAATGTACTCTTATGGATTGGGGTACTATAAGGCCTCAATCTAATGGGTGGGTGGTCACCAGTATCTATTTTCATTTGCACTGTCCCAGTCTGTTCTAACTCCTTGTCAGTATTAGCTACCACATCTCGATTACCTTCTAGCAGTTTCCTTATCTCATCTGTATATCTTTCAGGCACTATCAAGTCTTCTTCCTTTATTTCAGGGCTACTAGTGTCTACCCTTCTTCCATAGTTCTTGCTTACTCTCACTTACTTCATAATTTTTACTGGATAGGCATAACCTTATTCTTCTC